AATATAAACTTCTGTATATAGCGCTTTATCTCTTGATATGGGGAGAGGCTGCAAACTTAAGGTTTATGCCGGAATGTCTTTGTTATATATTTCACCATGTAAGAATAATCAAAATCTCTCTTTAAGCGCGTCACGTTTTTATAAAATGTGGTTTAATATGTTCGATTTTTATGTTCTGCATTGTGTGTTTAAATTTGCAGATGGCAAGTGAACTTCACGGTATGTTAACCGGTGCTGTAAGCTTGACGACTGGAGAAATAGTGAAGCCAGCATATGGAGGAAAATCCGAGGCTTTCTTAACCGATGTTGTTTCTCCGATATATGAAGTTATTCGTCAGGTAGTTCAGAAATCTTTGACTCGATCGGCGGTTCAAAAAATGTTCATACTTTCTTTTTACTCTTTCTAATTTTTTTTTTTTAACTACGGCCCGATTACTGAAGGAAGCTATGAAAAACAGAGATGGGACAACCGATCACTCGACGTGGAGGAATTATGATGACTTGAATGAATTTTTCTGGTGAGTATATTTATTGAATCTTAAAATGCAGCAGTCTTAAGAAAAAAAAAAATCTTATCTTTATATATTAATGGTGAGTTTTCTAGTAAAATGTATTCTGTCTCGTTGAATTTTTTCAGGTCTCCCGAGTGCTTCGAGCTCGGTTGGCCCATGAATTCGAATCACGATTTCTTTTTTGTCGACACTTCGAAAGATGACAAAGAGAAGAAAACTCCAACACCAAACAGAAATACTCGTGAAGAAGATAATGATGAAAACGTTAGAGATGTGGAAATGGGAGTAAGCTAACTTTAACCATTGAGTTGGAAAGTGATAATCTTGATTCGACATAATTAAAGCCAACTTAATTATGTCGTTCTCATTTTTTTAGGCCAATGTTGTTAAACCCCAAGAACCAAAATGGCTCGGCAAGACGAATTTCTCCGAGATTCGTTCATTTTGGCAGGTTTTCAGAAGCTTTGATAGAATGTGGAGCTTCCTTATTTTATCACTGCAGGTAATTTTTGTGTTTTTTTTTTTAGCTGCAAAAACAAAAAATCTCATAATCGAACCTTCCTTTTCACGGTGAAATTTTTTTTCTCTCAGGCAATGATAATTATGGCCTCACATGAATTGGACTCTCCTTTAAAACTACTCGACACGACTGTACTCGAGGATGTCATGAGTATTTTCATAACATCAGCTGTACTTAAACTCATCCAAGGTTCATATATATCAAAAATCTTTTTTTTTTTTTCTAGTTCTGTTCATTAGAGTTC